TTCCCATGATCAAGTTTATCCTTCCTCGCTCTATCTCCTCACTTTCCTTTAGCCCCTGCAAATCAGAACAGATATGAAAACCACATCCTGTATCAAGGACCCATGAACGAGAAGATAATGAGTTATTAGCAGAAATAGTGTAAATACCTGCCGAAGATGGCTTCACTTTGCCATCCTTGATATCTTGCAGATATTTTGTGGGCAAGATCTCTTCCAATGCCCCTTTTGGTTGCAGTAAAAGCAAACGACCTCTTTTGGATCAGAAACATGGGGAGTGGAACCATTGGGCTTAGCCTTTGGGCCATTGCTAGATGACCCAGCTTGAGCCTTGCTCTTCCAGTTTTGCTTGGGAGGACCTTTCCTCTTTTTCCCCTTTCCCTGTCCAATAGCCAAGACAGGGGCACTTGCAGGTGTGGAGGGTATACTTTTACCCTTCATCCCTGCCTCAGCTGTCTGCAACAAGTTGTGCAATTGGGCTAGGGTCTGCTCAGTATTGTTCAAATGGTAAGTTAGAATAAACTGACCATAACACTCAGGTAATGAGTTCAAGACCATGTCAATGGCCAATTCCTCATCAAAGTGAATGTTGAGCTTGACCAAACGCTCTATGTAGCGTTGCATTCTTTGCACATGTGATACCACCGACTCCCCATCTTTCATCTTGCAAGCCATGAGTGACTTGACTACTTCAAACTTTTCTTGACAAGCTCGCTTATGGTACTTTTCCATAAGGTCCTTGTTCATCTCGAAAGGCCAGTAGTCCTCATAGTACCTCTGCAGTTCTGGGGACATGGTTGCCACCATGATGCATGCCACTTTGGTAGCATCATCGTAATGTTTCTTGTAGGCAGCAAGATCTTCAGGAGTAGCTTCAGATTCATCAAGCTCTTTGAGCTCCTTTTCAAGAACATATTCTTTGTTCTCGAAACGAAGAGCCATCTTGATGTTGCGCATCCAATCGTTATAGTTTGAGCCATCCATAACGACTTTGGAGCAGATATTGAGCAAAGAGAAGTTTTGGTTGGAGGAGGACGAAGCAGAAGTGTTTCCAGGAGTAGACATCTGAAAAGAAAGAAAGTTTTAGTTAGATTTCAAGATACCTCAATATAATAACCCAAAGATAAAATATCAAGGTTAGGATCCAACTATGAAGATTCACAACTTAGAAATGGGATGCCGAGATCCAAGTGTAAATTTCATAAAGGTAGGTGAATGACGATTCACCAATTCCACCATTAGACGAAACAAACGAAGTGAAATTCCTAATTCTTTTGAGATACATTGAAACTATTCAATGGCATGTTTTAATCTCAGATTATGCTCTTCTATTTGTGACTGGGATGCCGAGGATCACAAACAAGATGTGAATAACCATGCAAATGTGCTTGGTAACCTCATTGTCTTTATCATTAACTATTGATGTGCTGGTAAACCACACACGCTCCATCAAAATGACAATTATGAGATACCCATTACTACTCTTTATTAGTGCCTTTTAGTGTGCTGGTTAACCACACACGCTCCACTAACGACCAATAAAGCATAATGTGCAATTTCATGGATTAGCATACTTTTCACATTTTTCCTAAAGTAACTAGAGTTGGGATTTTGAAAATAATGTTCTAGTACTTTCTTTAATATCATTATACTTTTAATGAGAAGTAGTTGTCCTATCAAATCCGTTCTGCTAACGACCCTCCACTAATCAAGGAAGCGGTGGGTGAGAGTGGACACCCATTCAACTACCATTTTATAGGCAGTTTCCTTATACCCCCCTTATAGATTAGCTTCGTGAATGAGGCATACTAGCGATTTGACTGACCATATTCTTATACATATAATATTAAACTTTTAATCATAATACATATATAAGGTGTGTTTTAAAACATTTTAAAACTTCAAGGGTTTATATAAATTTCGAAATTCAAACTATTAAATTTAAATTTAAATAAACCAATTAACTAGATTTAATATTTATCTTTTAATTAACTATTAATCAAATTATTAAATCTTGTAAGGATTATCTAATTAAATTAATCAATTAATTTAATCCTAATCCTTATCCCTCTAAATTTCGAAAAATAGGGTAAGGATAATTATCCAATTAATCTAATTAAGTAACAATTATCCAAAACAAGAAACCCTAAAACTTCTAGCAATTTCGAAATTTACAAGGGAGGAGGCTAGGGTTTTCAAAACCCTAACCCTAATTTCGATTAGGGTTCTTTGGAGGCTAGGGTTTTCGAAAAAACCCTTTGATCCAAAACCCTAGAAATCGAAAATTTGGCCTTTAGGGTTTAATGGCTATAAACCCTAATTTGCAATTCAACAATTATAGCAATTCAATTTAAAACAAACAATGGCTCTGATACCACTGATGGGTTTTAGGTAAAACAAATAAACTAGAAAACAATTCCTAAGTTCACATGCAACCTACTTTGGATCTATGTTTTAACTATTGAACATACAACTTTGAATTGCAAAACAAGAACCCTAGAGGAGAGAGGCTATTTTCGAAAATAGTAAACTAGGGTTTAGGGTTTACATACCTTTCAATTGTTATAGCAAACAATTGATAATTCCCTTGATCTTGATCTTGATCTTCTTGGAAGCTTTAGCACCACAAGTGTAATGCCTCTAATGGAATCACACCCAAGAACTAGCAAGAAGGAAAGTAGAAGAAGAGAGAGGGGAGGGAGTATGCAATTTCGGCCACTAGGGTTTCTTCAAAGAAAGAGTACCCTAAAATGTGAGCCAGGAGGCTCCTTAAATAGTTGAGGGACCTAGGGTTTAAGGAAAACCCTAGTTATCCTTTGCTTAAGGCCTAAGCAAAACCCAAAGGCCTCACTTGGACCCCTTGGACGAATTCTCTAGGGTTTCCCCTAGGGTTTTCGTCCACCTCCTTCCAAGGGGGTTCTGGATACTTCCATTCAACTTTCAGTTAATTGCAAACTAGTCCCTGCACTTTATAATTAATTCTTTTAACCCCAAAATTAATTCTGATTAATTTCTGGTTAACTATTAATTAAACATAATGATTTCTAATTAATATATTAATCCATTAACATATTAATAAATCATTTATATATTAATTTATTAATCTTATAAATTAATATCTCTCATTTCATAATTTCCTTGTCTAGTTGCTAGGTTGAGGGCAACCCAAAAGGACTGTGCTGCTATCAATTCAAGTACATACCAATTATAGTTATGGGCTTAGACACCTAATCCAACATTATTATTTAACACACACATATGATTATTACTACATACATATCTTAAATTTTCAGTTATTATTCAGGAAGTGAGATCATTGTGTGCTTTTCATTTTTTGTGTATTCACATGTATCTAATTTTGTTATATATTTCAATCAACTTATGGTTTTAACTTATGATTTTGATATATATAATTTCCCTAAAAATATTTCTACATGAAGTACCGAATCCGAGTACTCCCTAAGTACTCCCGATTACTCCCAAGTACTCGTTACTCGGTAGTCGGTCGAACAGGTACCGAGTAACGAGTTCTACAACCATGAAAATTACAATGACATCCGACATCGTCAAATCTCAATCTACCTCCACCGTTAATGACGTCGAAGAACTGTCGATATCCAAACGCAAGGTAATGTTGATCATCGAATTTACTGCCCAAGGCGACTCTTACCTCATTGAACTCTTCCTTTATAAAAGGATATGAAGTCCATAGTCTAATCTATCGGTCTTCAGCCTTCAACACCCAACATATCAATCATATATACACCCCCCTCACAACGTTCACAAGGCTCTTATGAAGCTCTACCACGACGATATCACTAATTCCTCTTCCATCCATCGTTGGATCGACACCATTTCCCCCAACGAGACCTACAACCTCACTACACAATCACAAGTAGTTGTTTCCTTTGAGATCCCTGATTACACCTATGTGTTGTTATTACCGGATCACTACGCCTTCTAGAAGCTTTAAGGTTTCATATCACCACTAATAATCGAACTCGTGTTAGGTATTATAAAGACGGTCTCATTCTTTCGATGCCCACCAATCTTTGTATCTGCATCACATATCCACTCTTCTAGATCTCCTTTACTTTTTTAGTATCATCTACCCATTTTGCATTTTCTCTCAGATGTGCTGATAGAACATTTAAAGGGTCATTAAGTATCTGATTATTTTTCGAGTCCTTTAAGTTGGCTTCTTGAGCTTGCATCATTGCTTAGAATATTTAATCAAACATCTTAACTGTTAGCAGCTTACTCATTCAAGCCACCATCAAATGAATTAATATAATAACATACATAACATTTTTTTTTCTTCACAATACTAAACATCAAATTCAGATAAATTCATTTTAAAATGAATAAGAAAATTGTTGAAATTAAAATGTATACATATTATTTGATGGTAGGTGGAAAACAATTATTGTTAACAAAATTCATTAATAACTAACTAGAATATAAATATGCATACTTATTATAACTTTGCTAAAAAAACGAAAACTTTTGTAAACTTTTTGTAAATGACTTCATCAAATCACCAACAACATCATCAATTAATCTATAAAACGATTTGTATACTACTTCTATCATCAGTTTCATATAGACAAGTTTTTATTGAAGTTGAAAACTCAAGTCTCGTTGTGAACATGTATTAAATATATAACGCCATCATATGGTAGTGTTATTTACAAAACTGATATCAATTTTGATAAATGACTTAACCTTTTACTATTTATTAAAAAATAATTGATTAAATTAATCATATTTGTCCTTTTTTTTTTTTCAAACAAGTGAAAGTATGAATTATGAAACAATGAAAATTGTTAATCTAAATTAGACGGTAATCGTAACCGACATGGACAGATCTGAGGTTTAATGTCACCACGTTGGACTGTCAAGCATACAATTCATAATTGTGCTAAAAGAAAGCGCGTGATTTCCACTCGCCCCCGTTGATAGTTTCTTATAAATCACGAATGCAAATTCCCTAACAAAACCCTCTCACATCCACTTCTCTAGTCAAAATTACAATGGCATCCGGCACCGACAGATCTCAATCCACCACCACCAACGGCGTTGAAGAACTGTCGATATCGAAACGGAAGGTAGCTCTGATCACCGGAATCACTGGCCAAGACGGCTCTTACCTCACCGAACTCCTCCTCGATAAAGGATATGAAGTCCACGGTCTGATCCGCCGGTCTTCAAACTTCAACACCCAACGGATCAACCACATCTACATCGACCCTCACAATGTTCACAAGGCTCGTATGAAGCTTCACTATGCCGATCTCACAGACGCCTCTTCCCTCCGTCGTTGGATCGACACAATTTCCCCCGACGAGATCTACAACCTCGCTGCACAATCACACGTCGCTGTTTCCTTTGAGATCCCTGATTACACCGCTGATGTCGTCGCTACCGGATCGCTACGCCTTCTAGAAGCCCTAAGGTCGCATATCACTACTAGCGGCCGGACTCATGTCAAGTATTATCAGGCCGGCTCGTCTGAGATGTTCGGATCAACTCCGCCACCGCAGTCGGAAGATACTCCGTTTCATCCGAGATCGCCTTATGCTGCTTCCAAATGCGCTGCTCATTGGTAACAACACTTTAATGTTCCTTCAACAGACTAGTAAATCTTTCAATTCGATTCATTCTCCTAGAAGTTGACCTAATCTTAGCTAGAATCATCTTATTCTTCCATCTTCTAGTCCACATTTTATACTCAGTTGCAGATCGGAACCTTATCAAAACATTGTTTATCTGGAACAGGTATACAGTTAATTACAGAGAAGCATACGGGATCTTCGCCTGCAATGGCATTCTCTTCAACCACGAATCACCACGAAGAGGTGAAAACTTTGTGACCAGAAAGATCACAAGGGCAGTAGGCCGGATCAAGATCGGTCTGCAAAGCAAACTATTCTTGGGGAATTTACAAGCTTCAAGAGATTGGGGTTTTGCAGGGGACTACGTGGAAGCAATGTGGTTGATGCTACAGCAGGATAAGCCAGATGACTATGTGGTGGCAACTGAGGAATCACACACAGTGGAGGAGTTTCTTGAAAAGGCATTTGGGTATGTGGGTTTGAACTGGAAAGATCATGTTGAAATTGATAAGAGGTATTTTAGGCCAACAGAAGTTGATAATTTGAAAGGTGATTCGAGTAAAGCTAGGAAAGCTCTTGGATGGAAACCCAAAGTTGGGTTTGAACAGTTGGTGAAGATGATGGTTGATGAAGATGTTGAGTTGGCTAAGAGGGAAAAAGTTCTTGTTGATGCAGGGTTCATGGATGCTCAACAACAGCCTTGATCTTGATCATGATTTTCAGATTTTGATCTTGATTTGGTATGTGAAATGAAATCTACTAGCTATACCCATCTTTTGTTGTTGGTTTTTTCTTGACTTTTTTTTTTTTTTTGTTATAGTTATTCAATTGTAATTCTTTCTTTCTCACTTTTAGTGTTGGTTTAATTTGGGGGTTGTGACTTGTGAGCATAATCTCTTATTTATAGTTGAAAACCCCTTGGATTTGATGAGGCTTTATAGAGAGGGAAATCCATTGATGTTGGGGTTGTGGGTCATATAGTTTTATGCAAAAGCATATATATAATGTACTTTTTTGGTATTTTTAATAAATAGTGTTTTTCTCAACAATTTTGTTTGCGCGAGTGTGTGGTAATTGCTATGTCAATTGATTTGGACTTTTTTTTTTTTCTGAACGGAACAGATTTTATTTGAAAGCCAGCAAGGAACTAGAAAATAACAATTACATCAATGAAGTAGCAAAAGTAGGATTATGGATTCAAGAAGACCATCCTAACTTAACTTAGCAAGGAACTAGAAAAGAACAATTACATCAATGAAGTAGCAAAAGTAGGATTATGGATTCAAGAAGACCATCCTAACTTTGCTTTCCTATATGTATTAGAGATCCAAAAAATCTCTATGAACAATATCATTAAAAAAAGCTCGATTTCCTAGGAAAAGTCGTGCCAAAAACATTGTTATTGCGGAAGTTTCATAAATACCAAAATGTAGTAAAAAAAAATCTCCAACCCCCATCCAATGACAACCAGATCTCTAATCCAATGGCAACCAGATCTCTAACTTAAAGTAACGAAGATTATCTAGGGCATAAATTATGTGGAAAATGAATGCCAGGGGCGACTCTCCCAACCACACATCATGCCCAAACGAAGTAAATCGCCTATCTCCCGACACACAAGTTGAAGATCAAAACCTCTGTCCCATCATACGAATAATACCATTCCAAGGACTATATGATCACTTAGGTGTAAGAGATCTAAAACCACCATCTGTACCGTAGATTTGATCAAACGAGTCCACAATAAGTTGGGAAAATGATAGAATCTCCACCACCACCAAAAAATCATAGCTCTGTTATAAGAGAACAAACTGACAACACCTGACCCACCCTCTCCTCTAGAAGCGAGGAATCTATCCCATCAAACCCAATGCATACGTCTCTCATCTAAGTTTGCACCCCAAAATAAATTCGTCCTCAAAGCCTACAAAGAGGAGATAATAGAAAGTTGGGTCACGAATATCGACATTAAATAGCTCATGAGAGAGCCCAAAACGGACTTGACCAAAGTAAAACGACCTCCAATGGAAAGATTCTTGGCCTTCCACCCCGATAATCTACTTCGAAACCAATCCAACAAAGGAATCCAAGTAGTAATCCAAGACATAGTCTGGCCAGCCGGGGTACCTAGATGAAAGAAAGGAGGAACAGTTGGAGCATATCTAATCCTATCTTCTACCTCCTCAACCTGATTATAGGAAACCCCGATCAATTTACTTTTATGTAAATTGATTCTAAGACCCGACACCATATAAAAACATATGAGGATGTGAACAATACGGTTTGAGTTCGCATGATCCCAATCAGCTAAAATCATGACATCATCAACATAAAGAAGGTGTGACATCTTAGTCCCAGAAATAGAAACCTCATGAATATATCAGCCTCCTGAGCTCTAGTTAAAGCAACATGAAGATCATCCATCACATCCAATCAAACTAATAGGTCTAAAATCCATGGTTGTCTTTGGATCTCTAACTTTCTGGATCATAGTAAAAAAGAAGCATTACACCCCTTCGGAATGGAAGAGTGTTGGTAAAAATGGCAAACAAAAGCCACCACATCGTACTCTACAAGATTTCAATATCGCTTGAGGAAACCAAACATAAATAGCCCTTTTGATTTCATCACGAGTAAAAGGAGCCTCAATATACTGAACCTACATGACAGAAAGAGGACTAAACAAACGGGCTCCGGTCTTAGGTTGCCACCCACGTTGCTTCGAGAAAATAGACTCATAATAACTACGAAATTCCTCATTCACTCGCGCCGGCTCATCCACCCCCACCCCCATCAATCAACAAATCGCAAATAGTTAGCTGACGTCACTTACGATTGAGAATACCATGAAAGAAACTTGAATTTTCATCACCCTCTATGCTTCACTAAATCTTAGCTTTTTGCTCAAACTAAATCTTAGAAAGATGATTCAGATCTGACATATCCTTTAAAAGAGTGACTCATTTCTCTCTGAAAAAAGTCGAACCAACATCATTCATAAGAATCGCATCTAGGGCCTCGATCTTATCCTGTAACTCATTCCTCTTATTAGACATCTGGACTCGAGAAGTAGAGTTACACACCCTCATATTACATTTAAGAAGTTGGCATTTCTTCTTAAAAATAACCCAGGGGTTCATATCCACCAACCCATCCACCAATCGCGACCACAAACTATCCCATCAAAATCATCTAACTTAAACCAAGAGTGAAAAATTCGAAATGGAGTTGGACCGTAATCAACACAGTGTTCTATCAAGAGAATGGGACGAGGATCCTTCTTTTCCAAAACCAAACCCATTATATGAGGAAAATTATGCAAAAGATCCGTCATGATAAAAAATCTATCAAGTTTACTAAATTCTAAACCCCATCTATCACTCTATCTAAAATGCGACCCTCCTAAAGGAATATCGACCAAATCAACATGCTCTGTAAAGCCATTGAAAGTTCTAGCGGTTATTAAATTAAAACAAAACCCCATTCGCTTCGAATCATCCTGAACTTCATTAAAATCTCCCATAAGAATACACTCCCCCGAAAAAGAAACAACCATCTCTAAAATGCCAGCCCACGACTTCCGTTTCCAAACATAACCTCCAAACCTGACCCTGTCCAAAATAAACAGCCTCAACAACAGACCAGTCAGTAATAAACACACGCTTCTGAGAAATAAGTTTCGGGTTCCAAACAGCCAGAATACCACCCGAAGCACCACGAGAGGAGGAAAAAGCATGCATAAAAAAAGCATTCCTCCAAAAAGATCGGACCGACACTAAATCCATAACTTCCATTTTTGTTTCTTAAATGGCTAGAAAGTTTACTTTATGAAGATGGCATAAATTTCTAACCCACCCCCGTTTATCCACACAACTCGCTCCTTGAATGTTTAAAGAAAGACAGTTCATGTATTATTACTTCGCACACCATGACCTTCAATGATTTCTTTCACCCTTTCAAAACACCCTTCCTTAACATAACCCATTGATTCTCCACGATTTTTTCAATTCAATCATAAACGATTGGTTAGTAAAAGAAGCATCTGATATAGTTTGATTACCCTAGAATTTAGAGTGACATGGATTAGAAAAGCATGGAGGATGGGAAAGATCTTCCTCCGAATCTTGTACTTCGGACAACCTTCCAAAACCCCCTGAAAAACTTAATGGTGCTTCGCAGTTATGAACACTAGGTTATTTCTGATAATTCATAGGTGCAATGGCTGCAACTGAGGCTGAAAAAGCTTCAGATGGACGGTGCTGAACAGAATTAGCAACAGGGAATGCAACAACTGTCAATTGTACTGTTGTTGTTGGCAGAGAAGCTGCTGATTTTGGTGAAGCTGCAAGTGGATGGGCACTATTCTGCTGAGCAAATACAAGAAATTTGACAGCATTCTGTTGAACCAAAAACTGAACAGATGCAACAGGTTCTCCTGCATCAGAATTCCGAAAATACCCTTGACAATGATCTTTTCTTTGTTTATCTAATATTCAGCTTTCAAATCTTCTTTGTCCATTTTTTTAACGTTTCATAAACACCAAAAAGATCATCTAAAATTCATCTTTATAATGCAAAGAAAAATTACTTTCATGCTTTTTCAAATAAATCATGATCATTGTCTACACCCCGTTCATTTTTGCAAAAACCGGATGAGAATGGAGGATTCCAACCGGAAGCTTCTTTGATCCTTATTGGAAAAACCACACCATCTGCTCTAATATACATCAGCTCTGAAATGATTCCAAGAAAGCTTGTCAAGATACAAACCTGATTCTTGTAGACGTCTCCACTTAACCCATCATCAAGTTGAACAATAGTTCCAAATTAGGCCATAATTTTCCTAAACATGGACTTGCTTAAGCATGTAAAATAATTCCTTCAATGGAGGATCCCATGATCCAATGATCAATTGCGTCAATAGGCATAAAAATTTTACATGCTTCCTTTGTCTTGAACTCCAAAATCACCCATAACCCACTGATATACCGAATATCAAAATCATCAAAACCCTCATCAACACATAACATATGGAGGTTAGGCAATGTATGAAAGTCTCTAGCCTTAATCAAACATGCTAGTTTTCTTTTTTCTACAATAAAATCTCCAGAAACAATTTCAATGACATCCACCATCTGTTCTTTATCCTTTGCAACCTTAGAATTGACTTTCAACACGCATACAAATTTACAGTATTTTCTTGCTTCTCAACTTTAGAGTGAACTGCATGGTTAGCAACAGATGGTTCTTTTTTCCGGTAACGTGGGATAAATGCAAACATTTTATAGTAACCAAACCACACAACGCATAACTATTTAACCATTTGATCAACATTATGTAAACCTGAGAATCTAACAAACCCAATACATTTACCCAAACACGACTTTTTATTCGAGATAAATACATCCACAACTTTCCCCAATCGAGCACAAACCCTTCCACAAATCTTTAGTTCTAACAGAGTCTGGGAAATTAGTAATGTAAAAAGATTGGGTATCACGACTTATAGTACCACGGGTTCGCTGAGAATCGTTTCTATGAACCCTAGCCTTCTCCTGGAATTTACAATTCTTGGTGCAACCATCGTCATCATTACGGACCCATCGTGAATCCACTCGAGACATTGCTTCAACAACAATACCAAAGAAAAATGTCGATCATATAGATAGATAGTAGAAAAAAGGTAGTAAAATCGTCGATTATA